ACAAAATAACTACATTTGGAGATGGAAGGTCCTCTAGAAGCTGAATGCTCTTTCTCCTCCATGTGGTTGAAACAACTAGAAGTTCCATGTTTTCCTTCTTAGGGTAGTCATTTTCAGAAGACACTGTGCCCCTTGGTACCTACCTGTATGTGATAAGGTTTTTCTCCCATTTTGGTTTCCTGGGGAAGAAATTATAATTGGCCACATCTGGGTTGCCACATCTGGGTTTTTTCATGGTTTCTATAGTGTTTTGGTCCAGTTCTCCAGTCTGAGGGAGCCCAAAGAACTTCTGCATGTTCTTCAAAGTGTCCTTCAGGACGAGTAGGTTGCAATTATCTTTGGGACATCCATAATACTTGTTGAGGTATTGCTTTTGGGGAAAAGAAAAAAAATGAGCAGTGAATATGGAAAGAAAGAAATGGATCTAAATGTCTACCTCTCTATCTCTCTTATTGAAAAAAAAAAGCAAACAAAAAACAAAATTTTCAAATGATGGCCCCAAAGCAAAGATCAGCTCTACGGTTGCCTAATACTGCCTTTACTTGGGCTTAACTGGCTGAATGAAAATCAAGTCGGAAATGATCAGCATGTTTCAGGTTAAATAAATCATCATTTGTCCATCTCTGAAGCTGACGTCAATATCAAAACTAGGATGGGCAATGTAACTTTTGCTTCGTGTAACAATATGGTACAATTAACCATTTAATCTATGGTTGGAATAACAGCTAGGTCAAAGGCTTTGAATCTGTACCTGGAGAACAAGGACAGAAGGAACAGGACAGAAACTCGCATCAACCATGCCTTGAGTTAGTCTTTTATCCCTCGTGATTTGAGGGCTCCTTGGTGCTCTCTGAGCTTGGTTGTTTACTTGTAGAGATTTCATGACCCAACTAGCTAACATGATCAGTGCTAGAAGGAAGTGGAGGAGAAGGAGGAGGAGGAGGAGGAGGAGGAGGAGGCGACTGTGGGTCCTAGGTGCCCTCTGAGCATATTTTCTTGTAGACTTTTCATTACCCAACTAGGTAACATCATCAGTGCTAGAAGGGTGTGAGGTTGCAAGAGGAGGAGGAGGAGGAGGAGACTGTTGGGTCCTTGGTGCTCTTTGAACTTGGTTGTTTTCTTGCAGATGTTTCATTGCCCAAACTAGGTAACATCATTACTGCTAGTATATTACCTAGTTTGGATAATGAAACATCTGCAAGAAAAACAACCAAATTCAGAGAGCACCAAGGACCTCTCATTTCAACCCTTAGCTACAAATATTCTCCCTTATTCATACTAGGATTTGAATTCTGCAGCTTGGTTGCCGTGTTATATCATGATGAAGCTCAAGAGAAAAAAGAGGAATTTATACAACAAAGTAATACATCATTCTTTGTTGGGGTTTATTCTTTTTATTCTTTTTTTTATATTGGGTTTTTTTAATTGTTTGGAAGCTGACCAAGAATCACAGAGTGATTGGGCAACCATATTAATCTTCTAAACACATAAATAATTATTAATAATAAATACGCAAATAACTCTTAGCTACTACTGTGCAAGTCACTGGAACATGTTTTCTAGACAGTCAACTTTTAAAGAATCACTGAACAGGCTGATGATGAATCATAATTATAATAAGTAACGTTTTATAACTCCCCCTTTCCAACAGATTTGCTACAAACATAACCCTGGCAGAGCCCTGTGGAGCAATTATTGCCTTTCAAGATGAGAGTTGAGGCTCGTTAGGAAGTTGGCTGAAAAATTAAGCTTTAAATAGTAAGGGGGCCTCTCTGACTACGCATAAGTCATACATTAAAAAAAAAAA